AAAAGTCATAGTAGAAAGTATAAAAAGAATCGGTATGGTAAAACAAAATTTAGTTAAAATTCTAAAGATTTGGGAAAATTAATAAGCACCAAAGGAAAAACCAGAAATCGTATTTTTTGCAAGGACAGATATTAAAAAAAATAAATATATAATTAATTTTCCCAGCTATTTTTGAGCTCACAAGTAGCTTAGATCAGAAACGACAAGTTTTATGACGCAAGCCCTAGAAGAAATAAATCCAAAGTTTGTGCCTTAAGTCTTTTGTTTTGCGCAATTCCCACTGTGTCGCTAAATTACAGCAGCAATTCCCCCGTCGAAAAGCGATGACAATAAAGCACAGCGCATCTTCAATAAATTTCATGCAGCTGCCGACAAGATAAAGCTGTAGAAATTATACAACAAAATCAATTGCAGTTCGGTTGCCTCTGTTTCGTTGTTTTTTTTTCCTCTTTTTTTTTTGTTGCCTCTTTGAGGCTTTCGCTGCATGCCGACATCTGTCTTATATAATAATTGACATGAGTAATCATTATGATCGCTTGTTTGAACAATGACCATTAACACTATGCCTTTGTTGCACTCCGAAGAACTGGAGAAGAGTTTTGCGTAATGCATCTTTACAAAGGAAGCCTTATTTATGCGAATAAGTAAATAAGGAGCACAGAAAATACATTATATTTATCTATATAAATAAGCAATATAAATCACGAAATGTCAGTTAAAAAAAAAATATGAAAGTAATACAAAAATGATTATAATTATTGACGATTTTTCTTGCTAACATTTTTCCAAATATAATTTTCTAAAATAAGCTCTTAATATTAAGCTAAAATGTATTTAATTGAAACTTATAAGTACGTTTTATTATAGTTAATTTGATGGCAAAGATCGCCTTTGTGCAGCTGGCAAACGCACTTTTTTTTATCGACACGTGCTGCCGACTGACTTGGCAATCGATCGGGTATCCGATTGACTGATTGACTGATTGACTGACTGACTGCGCGCCTGAGTGACTGACTCATCGAGCTGTCAGATGGGAAAAACTTCTGCAGCCAGCGAGTCATCCGAACATCTGCGACATCTTAAATCTACAATTCCAATTGCGCACAACACAAAATAAAAAACACAGAAGACAAAACAGAAAACCGAAATCCGAAATCCGAAAACAAACGATAGCAAACGGCGACCGACGAACAACAAAAGAATGTGTTGCAATTGAAAATAATTGTTTATGCTTGGCATTAAAATCATTACAAAACGATAAACACAACCAAGTCGCGTTGGTTGTTGAAATTTTTCAAGTTTCCAGCATTAACATTGACAGTTTGCCGGAGAGAGGAAGCCGTGCAAAATCCAAATGAGAACGGCAAACAATGAACGGTAGCTTGAAAGCACTTGGAAAAACAAAAAAACAGTCCTTAAAAGGAGATAGTACTTTATTTTTGCTTAAACAAATTATCATTTTAGAAAAATGACAAGAGAGCAACTATTTTGAAGTTGAGAAAGTATTGAAAGCATTCTCTCAACTTTAGGGATTACTTGGTGCTTTTTTTCAGGCTTTTGACATATTCACAAAATATTTTTTCAGTGCATTTATGCAATGGCTGCACAGGTTACATCCGCCAAAACATTATTTCATTTGAGGGACACGCAACAATCGCTTCCTCGGCGCAAAACGGCAGTCTCCTCTAGGTTTTTCTGCCACTTTGGTGGCATAAAAAGGCATAAAAAGGCAGAAAAAGGCAGAAAAAGGCAGAAAAACCGAGGGACTTGATGAGCCCGCTTGACAGGTGACTGCTCACAATTTATTTGCATTAGTTGCCAACTGTGAAAGGCTAAAAGGCTGAAAAGCTAAAAAGCCACAGACTTCAAAATGGTTAGGCAAACAGAAGCCGCCGGCGGCAAGAAAAATTTGAGTCGTTGATGGATTCGTAGAAGTTCGATTGTAAATATTTGCCCAACAAAAAAAGGGCTCGAAAAGAACTCGAGGCGACACGATTAAGGCAGAAAATATTTATAAATAGACAACGAGGTACTCTAATTAAATGTAAGAGGCAAACAATCGATTGTTACCTGTACATTTACTTTTAACTCTAAACTCGTATAATATCTTATCACTTATAATTATTATTTTATTATCAGAAACTTTTTTTAAATTAAAAATTTCAGAGAAGGTAATATACAAAGCTACCAGCATTTAAATGACCAATTCCTAACACTGAGATTTCCTGTGATTTCTTGCAGACACCTTATAGATTGGCCAGTTCTGCTAGCCACACTCTATATATCCGCCCACCGTATTATCCACCTATTCTGTCACTCAGCTGTCGCATTGTGTCAACTTAATGAGCGCTTAAATGCCAAATTAAAAATAGGCACCCTTCTTTCGGCTCTAAAACTCGTGACTTTGGTGGGCGAATTCGATTCGAACTCATTTCGGAATCTCTGGCGTTGTTCTTTCGTGTCAAGTGGCCATAGTTCGGTGTACTGGCCATAATTTTGTTTTCATTAACAATAAATTTCAATTAAGCTCACGATTTGGATATTAATAAAGTTTTCAGCGGCACGAAACGCAAATAGCCCGAAAATGCCGCCACGAAAATAAGGCCACAAACGGATGCCAAGTGTGTAAACCTTTTTTTTTTGCTTTTATTTCTTTTTTTGGAGGTGATTTCTGGTGATTTTTCGCTTGTCGCCAGATTTGTAGACCCCGAAATCCGTGGCTTGTAAGCAATTCCATGGCCCGCGTTTATTGGCAACACAAAAACATTGGGTCATGTGGGTGTTCAACTGGCTGTTTTGTATCTGTGAATTGTTCTATTTTCATACCCGTTTCTCGTGGAGTAAAATAAAAAGTGGAAGGACTCGTTTCCCATTCTATAAAGCATATATATTCTTAATCAGGATCAATAGCCATGTCGATCTAGTTTGTCTGTCGGTATATGTTGAAATCCGTTAGCTGAGTAAGGGGTATCCTTTGGTCGAGACACTTTACTATAGCGTTTCTCCATGTTTTGTCTTTGGTTTTCTGTTTTGTTTTGTGGGGCTCAAGGAATTTTCAGATTTTTGGTTTCTTATTTCAGTTGCTTATGTTGGCAGGGCACGCTGACAAATGGCCTCAAAAAAGAGTTGATAGAGGAGTGCCAGTTTTCCATTCTTCACTATGTAACATTTGTTTGCCCTGCCACTTGTTGAAAAAAGCCCCACACTAAGAAACAAAATATGACTAACATTAAAATCGACTACTTTAACGCCATTAATGACAATATACTCATATTCTTATTCTTGAATTTCTCTTTTAAAAAATATTTCAATTGGAACATTTAAAGTTTTAATATTTTGCCGAGTGCAGTTCATCAGTTTGCCATTCATCATTTGCACACCTTTCCCACAGCCATAATTGCGGTTTACTATGCATATTAATTAATTAAGGCATTTGCAAGTCCAATCAGACTTATATGAATTGCTGGCCAAACCTCAATAATTGAAAAATCGCTCGAATGCCGCACATCAACCATACGCAGCGTGGGCTCTGCGATGAAGATGGCAATTTGCAAATAATTTAAGGCCAATGATAAAGTGTGGCATTTATGTTTGTGCTGATTAAGTTGCATTTGTCACTACGTTGCTATTTTAGCTATCAAATGAATTCTTTGTTCGATATATTCTTTGTTCAGATATATGTAGATATATATATTTTTCCCACGATCTGCAAGGGGCGGCAATTGCCGCTTAATTGAATTTCTGTCAGTCCGGGGGCGAGCCAGAGAATGTTTCTAATTAGTTTTCTCAGTTAATTAAAAATACTCAGACCAGATGTACGTACGACCATTACGCACTGCAAAACAGAACTCTCTGTCTCTTCGCCATTGGCATTCATACATATATCGCGTATGTAAGTGGGTAAATAAAAATGACTGGGCGCACTAAGGTGAGGCAGTAAATTAAGCACCAGCCTCCAAATGTCAAAACATACGCCAAAGTCGGGAATAGATAAACAAACGCAATGCAAAACCAGCAGAAAAATCAGTTGAATCAGTTAAGTCGGCCCACAGCAACAAGAACCGCTAGCGGACAATGACCATGACTGCGGCGGTCGTAGAAAGAAATATACGACTCGCATACTGTATATCTACAAAAAGTTGGTAAGACCAGCAGCAAAGCGTTACCGTTAACCGTGACGAAAGGAGCACAGTGGGCCACAAAGTTGAAAAGAGGTATACAAAATATAGAAATTCAGATAGTTTTCTAGTGGCATGGAAAACGAGGTATTAAATTGGAAAGATAAATGTCTATCTTAAATGGTAATGTTAAAGAAAATGAGGGAATATCTAGAAAATATCTAGCTTATATATGTTGGCTTATCAAAGGTAACAAATAAAAAAAAAACCTATATTAAGTTATAAGATTTAAAAGATTATGATTTAAAATATGCAATTAATTCTTGAAGGAAGTGATCTGCCGTACGTGGCAAAGTATTACTTTAGTCAATCCAAAAAATGTACAACTTTTACATACATTTAAATATTCATTAAACACTATAAATAATTAAATTACTACTATACTGGTTAAGCCAATAATTATTAATATTAAGCTTGTTGAGAAATATTCAATAGACGTTAAATAAATTTGTTGTTTATTTCATAACCTAATAACATTAACTTACATGCGTTTTATTAGTCAACCCTTTTGAAGAGAACCTACCCTTTACATTCGCGATGTAGAATGATATTCTTGCACCACAGTGGTGCGTTTGGCGGTGGTGCTAGGTGGTTCAGACGGACACTCGCCTCGGGCGTATAATTAAATCATTTGCTGGCCGGCCGACCAGTTTCACTTAGCCAAGTTTCTCCGCCGCTTTTGCGGGGCGTTACATTAAATGGTATTTAAGAGCCCAATTAAGCGACAGAGTTGTGTCCAAAGTTTTTCTTAGCCAGCCCCCAAAAAAAACACAACTTGAATACGCTTCATCCTTGATTTCCCAGCCCTCAGTTTGAGGCGAAATGTCAAAGCTAATCGAGGTGTTTCTGGTGAATCTGTGGACGCAGCGCTTCACCTTTGCCTGCATGGGACTGGATTTGCAGCCCAAAAAGGGCAAAGTTCTGCAATCCCCGGCTCTTTATGGCATCATGTTTCTGGCCACCGGCTTTGAACTGTGCACCGTGTGCGCGTTTATGGTCCAACATCGCAACCAAATCGTGCTCTGTTCCGAGGCCTTGATGCATGGCTTGCAGATGATCTCCTCGCTGCTGAAGATGGCCATATTCTTGGCCAAATCCCACGACCTGGTGGCCCTCATTCATCTGATTCAGGCTCCTTTTACGGAGCTCGGGGATCGAGGAGTCTCGGAATGGAGAGCCCAGAATCACAGGGGCCAACTGATGGCCGCCATTTACTTCATGATGTGTGCAGGAACGAGTGTCTCCTTTCTGCTGGTGCCAGTGGCTTTGACCATGACCAAATACTTTTCCACTGGTGATTTCGCACCAGCCAGCTCCTTTCGGGTGATGTAAGTTGTATATTTAGGTCTTAAAAGGTCTTATTTTCAAGCTTGGGAAAAGGAAAATATTCCACTGGCAGAACTCAGTTCATTATTTTTACCTTCTTGTGCTATTAGTTAAATTTAAGCCATATATATTTCAATCGCAGACTTCCCTACGACGTGACCCAACCGCATATTTATGCCATGGACTGTTGCCTGATGATTTTTGTGCTGAGCTTCTTCTGCTGCTCCACCACCGGAGTGGATACCTTATATGGATGGTGTGCCCTGGGCTTGAGTTCCCAGTACCGTCGTCTTGGTCAGCAATTGCAGTGTATCCAAATGAACTCCGATTCCTCGCGTTCTGATTTGGGCCTAAGTTCCCTTTTTTCCGAACATGCTCGTCTTCTAAGATTGGTGCAACACTTTAATGCCAGCTTTATGGAGATCGCTTTCGTAGAGGTTCTGGTAATCTGTGTGCTCTATTGCTCCGTGATCTGCCAGTTCATAATGCCGCATACCAACCAGAATTTTGCCTTTCTTGGCTTCTTTTCGATGGTGGTCACTACGCAGTTGTGCATTTACCTTTTCGGAGCGGAACAAGTGCGTTTGGAGGCCGAGAGATTTTCCAGCCAGCTCTACGAAGTAATCCCCTGGCAGAGACTTTCCCCACAACATCGAAGACTTTTCATTTTTCCACTTCAACGAGCTCAACGCGAAACTGTTCTGGGGGCATATTTTTTCGAACTGGGAAGACCTCTTCTCGTTTGGGTAAGTTTATTATTATTTAAAGAATTTGTGTATAATATTGTTGCATTTCTAGATATTTCGCACAGCGGGCTCCTTTACAACTTTACTGAATGCCCTGTATGCAAAATACGAGACGCCTTAAAAACATTTATACTTACTTGTATAAAAAAAACAGAAACCTTTATGGCAAAATAAAGGTAAACATTAAACCAATAAAAAAGCGCAATCTTGTTTTTATTTCGTTTTTATTTAGATTTTAAATTACATTTAACATTTCTCGTTTTATGTACACACACATAATAAAATTATGCTCAATTAGACAAAAAATAATTACATTAGATACGCGTATAAGACATAAAGACACATATATATATATATATATAAAGATATAGTAGACTACGGGCTAAGTTTAAAAATTAACAAACGATGCGAGACAAAAAGCAGACAGACCAAAAAAACACTGATATTTAATATATAGTATGGTATAGATTTTTGCAATATAGGTGTTTTGTGGAAATGAACTTTAGGACATTGGGGTGGATCTTTTTTTTTGTGGTGGCTTGCATTCATCTCGAAATAAAATAAATAAAACTAACAAGGGAAAACGAAAGTGGTGATGGGTGTTTGTTTTTAGGTATTTTTTTGTATTTTTTTCCTCTTTTTAAAGACGCTTAACTGAGTGCCAACAAAGGCTCTATTTCCGAGGGATCCTCTATTTTGGGGCCCGCCTTCTTTCGGTACTTCTTCTGCAGCTTTGTCTTCGACAATTTCGACTTGTTCTTGGACGAGGTCTTGGGCTGGGACTTGGCCCTCTCCAGCTCCTTCTCCCTGTCCAGCAGCTCCAGCTGCTCGAATATGTTCTTGGGATGCGGATGTGAGTGCGGTGCAGTGGCATTCTTGGCCGCATAGACCACCACGAATTGGGAAAATGCCGAGTCGGCGGGTGTATTGATGTCCGCGAAGTCCCGGAAATTGGCAAACTGCTCCTCCGGATAGGTGTACTTCTGCACAAAGCCCTCTGAAGGACGACCATGTCCGTTGTTGGCATCTCCGTATATGTAATCGCTGTTGTCCTCGGGATGGTAGGGCATTTCCTCCTCCGGATAGAAGGTTCCCCCTCTCAGCACCCCGAAATCTCCACTCCCCAAAATACTGGCATCGAAGTTGCGCTGCTGGGTGGCCAGCTGTGGCTGCTGTTGTTGGGGTGCCAGGAGGGGCAGGGGCAGGGACAGGGGAGTGCTCTCCGACACCGGAGGACCATGTCCGAAGTAGGGCCTCGAATGCCCCAAAGGTGGCGCCTCGTGGTAGAACGGCGGATAGAAGTTCTGCGCTGCCTGCGTGTGCGAATCGCCCACTATCTTGGTGTTCGGATTGGCAATGGGTCGGAACTGGTCCTCCTCGTCGGGATTCTGCTGCGCTGCCGACTGGAACTGCCTGGGCTGAGCTCTGGGCTGGATTCTGGACTGCGTCTGCGGCTGGAGCTGCGTGGTCGGCGGCATGTGGAAGTGCTGCTCATGCGATCGCAGTACTGTGATTGGCGAAAAGTCATTCGGCTCCATCAGCATGTCGCTGTCCTCCTCGGGGAATTCGGCTGAAAAATATGCAAATGAAGGGGAGAAATCAGAAATCAGAAATCAGTCAAAGAAATCCACTCGAAAGTCTTAAGAGCTTCGGCGTTTCAAGTTTTTTGTGAGGAGCCCTTGTGCGATGCTCAGACATCGAGTGGTGAAATGTGTTGCCGTACATGCGTCTCGAGTTTTAAAGATCGCTCGATGGAGCAGGAAATGCGCCAGAAGATGACATTTCCTCTGGCAAATGTGGCACAGGAAACCCTTCAATAACAAGTAGCAAAAAGACATATATAACCAAGAGTATTTCACAGCAGAGAAACTGCATTTAAAGGAGAAACCTATTTTGTTTTACAATAGTTTCGCAAGCCACACAATTATGGATGTTACAAATGTTAATTCGAGATACACGTTTTATTTTGCAAGCTAAATTAATAACCATTAGGTAATTTCATATTATTATTTTTTGTAATTAAAAATTAGGCTAATACTTTTAATATGCGATAAATACTTTTGCATTGGCCTAAATTCTGACGCCTTCAATCTCTGCATCTTTCAGACACTTAATTTCGTGGCCACTGGACTTTTGGGCCAGATTTCAGTTAACACGATGCGAAGTCGTATGCCAACTCAATTATACTCTGGTTGTTGTCAGAGTTTCGGCTTTTGGAGTCTGTTTCTAGTTATTTTAATTTTATTTTTATTTTTTCGGGGTCTGGCTGGGCTGTCAACTGGCGTATCAATAAAAGTCGATAATAATGTGAGCCGGGCAGCTGGCATACATTTGTGTGCTTTGGCTTATGTTCTTGGCCACTGCAGCTCCCGATCTAAATAAAATCCCATAGATAAAATATTTTTGCCAAAATCAGCTCCATTTTCCGGATTTTTAATCAAAACCCTGAGAAATAGTGGTCAAAAGTTGGAATGTCATACCTCGTTCAGTTCGTTATAAATCATTTCAATCAAGCTGTATCCTCAGAAAATAAATATCGTTAACATTAATTTTTCGAAAAAAAATCATAGCAAGAAAAAAGGAAAACTTAAGCCTTTGCTATTACTTACTATTATTTACTTTTTATTTAAGACTCCGCTCTCATCAGCCAACATACTTTTCATACTCGTGTGCGATTTTCGTTTCAACACAATTGGTTTTGCTGATTGTGAGTAGTTTCTTTTTTTGACTTTTTTGAAAATGTATCACAGTTTTCACTGCATGCTATTTTTGTTTGCCCAAACACCCGCGGTATTTTTTTTTCTTCGTTTTTCGACTGGCAAATGCCGAACATAATGAGTTTGTAAAGTGTAATTGGGTTTCGTCGACTCTTGGCTCAAAGCAAAAAGTCTGGTTGATTTTTAGCTTTTGATAGTGACTTGCTGCCAGAAATGGGTCAAACACACGCCGATAAGTCGTTTGGTAAGTATAGATTACTTTATTATTTATTTGAGGCGGTTATTTGGTAGCACGATTCGGCTAATTTACGAAATTGCCCCGATTTGCTGCTGGATAATCGATCACGTACACAAGACACCCACAACAAATTTGGGAAAAGCCAACGAAAATAAAACCGTATTTAGGTTGAATATCAATATGATGGTATTTTTTTTCTGAGCATAAATAGAATACAGAAGATCACATAAATGTTGAACCAAGTTAATATTTCTATATTCATAAGCGTTTTTCAAACCTCAATTTACAATTGATACAAAATAGTCGAACCACTCAAATTAACAATCGACGATTTTGAGTGTCTATCCATAGTTCATCAATTATCGATTTTAAGTCACAGTGAATCAAAAAAGAAATGGTATCGAATTTGATATCAAAAGAAAATAAGACAATTTTTTTCTGTAGCTTATTGAAAATTTAATAGCTTTATATACTCAAAACAAAGGAACCGATTATTGTTATTAATTTCTATGCTCCAGAATGCTGTCCTCTAAACACGACTTAGATTTCCTAAATTTTCATTAAAAATTTTCTTGAATAATATCAAAAACTAAGTGCACATACGTAAGTGATTAAAATGGGAGCAAGTTTAATGAGTCAACTTTTTGAAGTACAAATATGTTTACGTTTAAAGTCAGCAAGTACGTAAGTTTCTTTGAATCTAAATTAAGTTGTTCAATTGAAGGTGACATTACTCAGGCACATTTATGTATATAAACAGCAATTTGTTTGTAATTTAAGACAAATTTCCAACGATTTTAAATTCTTTAAGTGACTTAACTCGATGATTCTTTTTTAAATGAAACCCACGAGTTGCAAAGTAAGGCCTGTGGCAACTCTTTTATTTATTATCCAAGTAATGTTGTCTTGCTCACTGTTTTCTTTCTTTTGAGTTGGCAAATTATGAAAGTGCCGAAAAGACAAAGCGCAATAAAATCAGCCAAAGGAAAAGTGGAGTAAACTAGCGAAATAAGAGACGACTCAGATGGTTTATATATATATATATATATATATGGTGGGTAAATATGTATATATATACGTGTGGAAGTACTCGTAACATGATGACCCTGATGACGATAACGATGCCGATGTAAATGTTTAGGTAGATGTCCATGTAGATGGTACAATGGGGCGTATGCGTTAAATTGAGCGCGTCGTGCCCACAGCCAAAATCCCTGGGTGTGTGTTCAAGTGAACATCTCTTCATGTATATATCTTTTATGTATATATTTATAACCATATCTGTGTGCGATCACCATGACATGAGCATGTCTGTTTAGTCACTCACAACAAAATTGCACATTGCGATCGTCATCGTCATCGGCGTTGCGAGTTTTTCTCCACGGCTCTTCTTCAATTTTTCACTTTTTCACATTGTGTCTGATTATATGTACGATTGTATCTGATTGCGACGTGGGCGTCAGCCGTATAATTAACACATTGTTATTGTATCTGTATCTGTAGCTGTGTGTGTTGCAATGAGTAATGGAGCAATGGGAAGCGTGTCTAAGTGGGCGTTAAATGGCCGCCTCAATGCGTCCATCACAATCATTATCATCATCGCCACCATCTTTTGGGTAGGCCCACTTATCGCGCCCCACCGAAAAAAAATAAATAAATAAAATAGCTGCCGCACGACAAACGATCGCTGTAAGTGCAGCGAAAAAATGATGAGTGGCGATCCCAAGAGGCGACTCTTTAATCAAGGCGACAAAAAGTTGATGGTGCTGTGGGAAACAAGCCCAAACAATGTTTTTACAATAGTGTTTGAGGTGCTGGCCTATACAAAATATTTTGAAAACATGCATACACATTCTTGCTCATTACTCAAGAAAAATTCTTAAACAAGAGGTGACAACAGTTTTGGGGGGAAGAAGTAAAGCTAGTATTTATAATGAATCATTTATGATAATAAAACCACAAAGAAGATCTGAAAATGTATGTACTCTCGTAAATATTTTGAGTTGCACAAAACAATAAACTTAATCAATCAGCCGCTATAAATTCCTTTTTCTCGGTTTCACAATACTTTCAACGTGTTTCCTCCAACAAGCATCCCGCAGATATTGAACAAATCTCACTTAAGTTATTCGCAAGCCCCTCGATCACTCACGGCACTCCACCTATGATATTAATTTCAATCCTTATCCCATTTTCCCCATTTTCGAGGCTCTGGGGCACTCCCCATTTTGCAGTCTGCCTCATAGCCAACCCCCCCCACCCCCCGGGTTTTCCAAGTCCCCATCTCCTGTGGCAACTCATCAGCGGCCGTATGAAATTTTCCGGCACTTTGTTGGCACTTACAGCGGCGCATGCGTGTAAACACAGATCGGGTCGTGGGTTGTGTTTCGTGTCCACCTCTTCAGCTTTTCCTCTGCACCTCATAAATTTCCAAATCAAAAACTGCGAGACCCATTCGCCACTTTCACAACAGGTTGGATGGAATTGCTTTCGGAGTTGCGATTATAATTAAGGGGTTTCGTGGAGATTGGTTTTAGTCCGGGGATCAAATTTGACCCTTGGGTGTCAATGTCGCTTTCCCAAATTGATCATATCGTCAAGCAAACTTTCCATTTTCAAGCATACATTTTTTGTTTTAGAAATTGAATTAACAGTCATTTTATGGAAAACACTCCCCTTATACATTCAAGTTTTCTTTTATACAGAACTATGATGTGCAACCACATTTACACTGCTTAAAATTGCCAATAACAATTATATTTTCCAAGTAAGTATTTCAGCAACCTTTGATATTCCGCTGGCAATTTGCAAGTTGAGGGTGTTGAATTTTCACAATGACAGTTGTCGTGTCGATTATTTATGATGTCGTTTCAGCAGCTTGCATACATAACTAAATGTTTGCAATTAGCTGCTTTTTATGTTACATTTTAATGACAGTTTTGTCTGTGTCTCTATTTCTATTTGCCATTTTATTTCTTTTTTTTTTTTTTTGTAGCTCCCCACCTTCTTGTCATGTTTTTCCGCATTGAGGCGAAGTAACCTTGGGGCCAGCCAGCCACTTCATTTGTCTTCATTTGCAATTCGATTGCACTTCGCTTGGCCGAAAAGAATCTGGCCAGCTTCGGTCCTGACGGCAATGCCATAATGATGATGACTCAGCTTCAAGTTGAGGTCTCTAAGTTTTCAAACTTAGCCGGCCGGCGATGCAGGCGGTCAATGTCAGTTGTTATTGGGATGCGGATTGCACATTGGCGATTGGTGATTGGGGGAGGGGAAAATCGTAGAACTTGGGTGAGATAAGTCCACTCGGACGAGTCGGCGAGAATCGCATTTCAAGACTAACCACTTGGCCAGCACATGCTGCCCATTAATTGTCAATACACGTTAAAAAATATAGGAATAACAATAGGAATTCAATTTTTTTTACATTATTCATATCGTTTTGAGGTAGTATTTGTCTCTGGTCAAAAAGGTTAACTTTTTGTAATAGTAGTATTAGTAAATTATAATTAAATATTATTTACATTATTTAAATAATTTAGCTTTAATATTATACAAATAAATATTCTCGAAAATAATGATTTGGATTGATTGATTATCGGTTCAAAAACAATA